AGCAGCACTCCAGCAGAGAGGAGGCTGTGCCTGATGTGTCCATGCCAAGGGTCTCCAGTTCCCTGGGGTGAGCAGAGGGCAGGGCAGTGCATGGGGAGCCTTGCAGAAGACACAGGATTTGAGGAGTCAGTGATGTTGAACAGGCATGGCTGCTGTGCGGGGCCCTGTGTTTGGATGTTAGCATGAGAATGTGCAGGGTGGGAACCACCAGGAGTGCCCTGAGCAGGCCTGTGCTGTGCACGGGTGTGTGTCATGCAGGACAGAGTCATGAGATGGGCCAGCCAAGAAGGGACCACAGGGAGTCACTGCTCCAACCTCCCTGCTCCATCAGAGTCATCCCAGAGCACATGGCACACAGCTGTATCCAGATGGTTCTGGGATATCTGCAGAGAGAAAGGCTCCGCAACACCTTTGGGCAATCTGCTGCATTGAACTGTCTTCAAATGTGGAGAGTTCTTATCGCAGATTCAGGTGGAACTCCCAGTGCATAATTTTCTGCCCTTGGCCTCTTCTCCTCGTGCTTGGCAACGCAGTGAAGAACCTGGATCCACCTCTAGGAAGCCTTCCTACAAATACTTGTAGACATTGATGAGGTGGCCACTTAGTTGTTTCTTCTCAAGGCACAAGATGCCCAGCTCCCTCTGCCTTTCTTCTCCGAAGTGATGCCCCATTTTACTAAACTCCTTTCATCTCCTGTCCTGGACATTCTCCAGGAGCTCCATGTCTCTTTTGCACCGAAGAGCCCAGAACAGGACACAGCACTGCAAATGTGCCTCACCAGGGCTGAGTGCAGCCTCACCTCCTTCCCCCTGCTGGCATTGCTCTTCCTAATGCATCCCAGGACAACACTGACTTCATGGCCACCAGGAAAAAATTGCTGGCTCACAGAGAGCTTCTTGTCCAGCAGGAACCCCAGGTCCTTCTCTAAAGAGCTGTTCACCATCAGATCAGCCCCCAGCCTGTGCTGGTTCATAAGGTATTTACCTACACACAGATAAAATCCTGCATTTGCTTTTCATGAATTCCAGAATATCCCCCTCTGCCCATTCCTCCAAGCTGTCAAGGCTCATCTGGACTGCTGCATGGCCTTCTCAGGTATCAGAAACTCCTCCACACTTGGTGTTATCAGGGAACTTGATAAGGACACTCTCTACCCTTCATCTGAGTCACTGATGTATAGAACACTGAAACCTGTGAGAGATTCCTGGTATCTGCTCGGCTTGCTAATGTAACCTGTAATTTTTATCCTCTATTTGCTGAAGATAAACTGTATGTGGATGAAGGGCAGGAAGGCAGGTGGATCCTGCCCCAGACACCATTCTGCATGGAGGACTTAGGGATCCACTGAGCACTTTACCAGAGTAAGCACAGGCTTGTGCTCTGCTGTTCCTATTCCTAGGCCACAGAACAACCACAGACAAGGTGCTGGAACAGAGGAGCTTGTGGGCAGCTGCCACACGGTGCTGGCTACTGCCACACCTGCCAGGCCTTGCCTTCATGCACAGGTGCACCAAGAACTACCCTCAAAAGCCCTCCTTCCATTTCACAGTGAGAAGTGTGAGCAGGGTTGACTGGAGATAAGTAAGAGGAAGCCAGTGGAGTGCAGATTGAAGCCAGAAAGGAGAAGCTAGGGACGGGAGACAGAGAGAAGAAGAAGTGCTGAGAGAAGCAAGGGTAGTGCAAAAAAAGACTTACATGTTAAGGGAGGCCTGGAGTGGCAAGGAAACCATGATGGACAAACAAACTGTCAGCATCTGAGAAGTCAAGGAAGGCAAGGCCAGGAAGCAGAGCAGCAAATGAGAGAGAAGTGATCACCCGGCCTTGTGCAGCAGCCACAAGTGGAAAGCAGGTCCTGTTTGTGCAGGGACAGGTTTGTGCTCAGCTCCCTCAGGAGTCTCACCACTGTGTTCACTCTCAGCACAGTAGTATGTGCCAGAGTCATTGAGAAAGGCATGTTCTATTGAGAGGGTGATACTGTCTCCTTTTATCTTGCTGCTCTTGAAATGGCTCTCAAAACCCTTCTCCACCACTGCATTGGCACCTTCATATGCATAAACCAACTGGGTCAGACTGGAATTCTTCTCTGAAGGCAGCAGGTACCAGTACATGACTGAGCTGGAGGATTTCTTCTCGGAGCATTCCAGATTCACGGATTCGCCTTCTTTGATCACCATGTCTGGAGACTGTTCCAGGGCTAACACTGGAAAAGAAAAGTAGGAGCAGTGAGGAAGAGCAAAAAATGGGAAAATATTGAACTAGGCATTGTGAGTTGGTATTGAGAGGTTGAGAAAAAACAGGGCTGCCAAGGGAGCAGTTCCAGGCATGGGACAGCTCTTCAGATCAGCAGGTGAATTTCCAATCTCTCCTCAATAGGCAACGTGCATTCCTGGGCTGGTTGTATCCAAACCCAGGAACCATCTGATGGCTGCACAAAGAATGACAAATAGATGGCCATTGCAGAAGATTCAGGCATTCCCATTGCCCCCACATTCCCTGCTGATCCTCCATGCAGAAAGCTCTGCAGGATGCAGCAGTGGCACGAAGTGGCTCCCCAGCTGGGAGAGCAGCAGCGGCATGAGTGGAGGTGCTCAGGGCTGAGTTGAGTTCACTTACCCAGAGGGGCCAGCATGGCCACCAAGAAACAGCAGGGAACCATGGCGGGAGAGCCCTGCCCTGTCAGCAAGCTGCCTCTTGGTGCTGCCCAAAGGTTTGTGCAGAGGGAGCAGTGAGTGAGGGTGAGACATCTCGGGGTGGGGCTGGCCAAGAAATGACAGAAGGCATTGGCTGGCTGGGAACCCTGGGCAATGACAGAGAGCATCTGTATCATTGTCCCCTCTGCCCTGACAATTGGCCTCTACAAGGAGATTTGCTTTCCTGCAGGACTGAGCTTGTCCTCCTGTGGGGTGTGGAGGCTGTGCTTGGGATTCAGGCAGTGAGAGCCCTGGGGTGTAGAAAGCAGCTGTGCAGTGCAATTGCATTCACTCCTGCTCTGCCAGGGACACCTCTGTGCTGCTCTGCTCACAGGCTGAGGATACCCAGGCCACTGCAGCCTCTCCACTGCAGCCTCAGGTGTTTCTGCTCTGAGGAAAATCCGCATGTCCTCTGTTGCAGGGGACAAAATCTGCATGGGATAGCTGGGGAACCCACCGAGCACAGGGATAAACAACACCTGGGACCGTGGCAAAGGGTGAAAGGGACACAGGGAAGGAGTGACAGGCTATTCTGCCGAGGTCAACTGAATTTCCCTCATCCTTCTACTTTCATTTCCTAGAGCTCTGCCTGACAATAGGCAAGGAGAAACAGGTGGAAAACGGCTAGGATCCCTGGTGGAACTTCTGTCTCGTAATGCTGGGAAGGAGAAGCCTCCTGAGGTGTCATGCTGTTCAGTGTGTGACTGAAGGGGAAATTTCCATGAAAGTCTTCAGGAAAATTGCATGCATGTGCTAAGCAAGAGACAGGATGAACCAATGGAGACTGTGGCACAGTGCTGTGTTCTCAATTCACTCTGAGAATAATGGTGTTAACAGAGTGTCAGCTGTAGTTAAGCACTGCTTACTCCAAATCCAGGACTTTCTAGTGTCTCATGCTTTGCCAGAGAGCAGCTGCACAAGCAGCTGGAAGGGAGCATTTCCAGGACAGCAGACCCAAACTGGCCAAAAGGACGTTTCCTCCCATTCAGCCTGATGCTCTGCGTGGACAAGGAGGGGAGCTGTCCAGCTGCTGCCTGTCCCTGCTCAGGGATGGGCTGGGCACCAGGACACTGGGTGTTCAGTGACAATATTGTGTATCCCGTGGATTTACTTGACTTTTATTTCTCTTTCTTTTTCTTTGAATTTTCTCCTATTATTGCTGTATATGGGTCTCAACCTTTCAGTTCTGCCCTTTTTCCATCCCACCAGGGCAAGGGAGTAGTGAGGGAGTGCCTGTAACACCCAGCAGCTGTCTGGGCTTTAACCACAAGGACCTGAGCACCAGACAGCATCTCCATGTCCCCACAGCTATGGCAGGAGCTGCAGCTCCCCTGACCAAGCCTGTGCTTCACACTCCAGCAAGGAATTCCCAGCAGCTGTTCTTGATGCATTATGAGCATTTAGGTGAGGATTCCCCTGGGCCCTTGCCCTCTTTTTAAACTGGAGATAAAGAGGAATAAGCCAGTCAGGGCAGCCCTCGTGACTTTCAGCAAGCAGCAGGAGATGGAGTGGATGGGCCAGATAAGATCCTCGGAGGCAGCAACAAGCCCTGCTGAAAACTCCACTTCGGCTTCTTCCTCCTGGTCCTTGTCCTGGTCACCAGGGATGTGCCATGGCTCACCTGGGCAGCCTCCTGCTGTGGGCAGGGACAATTCTCAGACATGAGGGAGCTCAGGGCACAGGGTATGGGAGTAACTTGGGCTGTGTGTCGATCCCTGGAGACCAATGGGGACAAGGACCAGTGGGCTTTGAATTTCCAGGTGGTGGAGAGGGAAAGTGCTGTGTGAACTGTTGCACATCCTGCTTCCCTGGCCATGAATTGATGTAATAGATTGTAAGGAAGGAGAGATGGAGGAGGAAGGGAAGAGGAAATAGGAGGGGATCAGGTATGAGAGGACAGAGACGAAAAGTCAGGGGGACAGAGAGAATGACTTGAAAAGAACAAAGTCAGAAAAAGTCTGAATGGGAGATAAAGGAGGTCAGACAGTGAGGACAAGAAAAACTGAGAGTAAGAAAGTGATTCATAGATGGTAAAGAACAGAAAAGTAGCTAGAGACCAAGCTAAAGACAGATTGATGATCAGATGGACAGAAAGACAGACAGACAGTTATATTGTGTTTTTCTGAAGAGCTGGGCGGCAAATAAAAAAGGAGTTTACTCAAACAGGGCTCAGTGTGTGCTGGTGGCAGATCCCTGATTGCCTGGAAAGGTTTGTGCTGTGCTGCACCAGCCTTTGACTCACTGTGGATCTTGTTCAGCACAGAAATATGTGCCTGTGTCATTGAGTAGGGCATGCTGGATCTGCACAGCTTAACGGTTGTTCCTAGTCCCGTTACTCTGGAAGCGATTTTGGAATTCCTTCTCCATATCTGCTTTGCCACGTTCCACTGAGTACACAACCAGCAGCATTCTGGCATCCTTCTCCATGGGTAATTTGTACCAGTACATGGTCTTGACTATGTTGCCCTGATGCAGAACATTGCAGAGCGACCGTGTCTCCCAGCCGGACAACTGTATCTGGTGACTGCTGAAGGGCCCAGCCTGGAGAGACACGAGATGAATGGTGGGGAGTGAAATGCATTGAGAAGACAAAAGTGCACATCCTTAAAATATGCCATGGTATGCAATGGCACCAGGATATCAGACAGCAATGGGCCAGTGCCCTACTTCTTTGAAAAAGGCAGATAGGATAAAAAAATCCCCAAACAAACCAATTTAAATCACAACAGTGAATCTCTTTTGAGAAATAATGACTTTGCTACTCTCAAATGTAGTATTAAAATAGGGCAGGAAAAAACAGGTTTTCAATTTCACAGAGTTTCCTGATTCAATAGCTGGTGCAAAGGCTCACCTGGTTCATTGCCCCACCCTGCCCTGCAATCCTTGAGAAGGGGCAGTGTCAGCAACTGGGAGCAGAGCTGAGGATGCAGCAGCAGCTCCACTGCAGCTGATCAGCACAAAGGGAATGCCCACTCACCCACAGGGAGCAGCATGGCCACAAGGAGCCGGTGGAAATCCATGGAGAAAGGCCCCCTCCTTCCAGGCACCTGCCCCTGGTGCCAGCACAGACACAGAGGTGTGGAAAGAGGAGAGGTGCAGAGCAGGAGATGCGTCTCTCTGTGGGTGGGCAGGGGAGGGAGCGACAGTCTGAAATGTCACCAAGGCTCTTGGCTGCCCAGGAATGGTGGGCAATGACACCTGCAGGCAGTCATGAGCTGCTTGTGCTCTGCTCCTCTGGCTTCCTGCTGTGTGCGAGCGTGGCTGGGCAAGAGTAGGGGGGACTTCAGCAGGTGCCAGAGTTCAGAGCTACCACGGAGCACGATGGGGCTGTGGGGCAGCGTGAGTGTGTGCGCAGGAATGCACAAAGGGGCAGAAATTGATGGGAAGACAAGGAGACCTCAGGAATGCATGTTTGTGTGTCTGTGTCCCACTGTTTGTCTCTTCTTTAGCCTCCCTCACACTCACAGATTCCCATCCCTGCAAGCTGCAAAGTGGAATCTCTGCTTCTCCCAGTCAGGCCTGACGTGTTGTCCAGGTACGGGAGAAGGTGCTGACCTGCAGAGCTGGTGTCTCTTGGAGCCTGGCAGAGAATAGTTCTGTAGCTGTTCTTCTCTAACTCCAGAGGGGGATCTCCAGGAGAGAACAGGCTGCCTTTGCTTCTGCTCTGAGATTATCCTTTGAGACACTCTTCATCTCAGAGAGATTTCTGAGGAGAAGGGTGTGCCCCACAGGATGCGCTGATACACCCTGACCTTCTCTGTGCCAGGGAAGAACAGATATAATCCTTGTCTCTTTATTGCAGCAGTCTGCAAAAGAGCACCAGGACACAAGTGGACAAAGCTGGAGAAAACCATGTCCTCTGCTCTCTGTGTCCACCCAGCCTTGCTCACCTGCCCAAGGCACTGGGAAATCCCTGTAGGCAGGAAGGGACACTCGTAGTTTGTGTGCCCTGAGCTTGGGCAGAGAACTCTGGCTGAGCCTCTGCCCATCCGTGCTGGGCTGTGTGCACAGCAGGGTGAGGCTGGCCCATACAGGACATGGAGTGATGGCAGTGCCCAGGGCTCTGAAGGGCTTTGCAGTGAAGATGTTCCCCTGTGTCCTGTCAGCAGAGGAGAGCAGCAATGCCTGCAGCTCCTCCCAAATCCTCTGCTGCAGTTCTGAGTGTGTCCCATTGCATTCATTTCCCCAGGCTGCCTAGAGAAGATTCTGGGAAGGCCCCAGATTCCTCTACAGTAGTTGCAGAAAGAAGCAAAGAGATTGGGCTGCTTTGTAGGAACCCCAAATCCTGCCAGCACCACCACCAGCAGCAGCAGCACTCCAGCAGAGAGGAGGCTGTGCCTGATGTGTCCATGCCAAGGGTCTCCAGTTCCCTGGGGTGAGCAGAGGGCAGGGCCGTGCAGGGGGAGCCTTGCAGAAGACACGGGATTTGAGGAGTCAGTGATGTTGAACAGGCATGGCTGCCGTGCGGGGCCCTGTGTTTGGATGTTAGCATGGGAATGTGCAGGGTGGGAACCACCAGGAGTGCCCTGAGCAGGCCTGTGCTGTGCACGGGTGTGTGTCATGCAGGACAGAATCATGGGATGGGCCAGCCAAGAAGGGACCTCAGGGGGTCCCTGCTCCAACCTCCCTGCTCCAGCAGAGTCATCCCAGAGCACATGGCACACAGCTGTATCCAGATGGTTCTGGGATATCTGCAGAGAGAAAGGCTCCGCAACACCTTTTGGCAATCTACTGCATTGAACTGTCTTCAAATGTGGAGAGTTCTTATCGCAGATTCAGGTGGAACTCCCAGTGCATAATTTTCTGCCCTTGGCCTCTTCTCCTCGTGCTTGGCAACGCAGTGAAGAACCTGGATCCACCTCTAGGAACCCTTCCTACAAATACTTGTAGACATTGATGAGGTGGCCACTTAGTTGTTTCTTCTCAAGGCACAAGATGCCCAGCTCCCTCTGCCTTTCTTCTCCGAAGTGATGCCCCATTTTACTAAACTCCTTTCATCTCCTGTCCTGGACATTCTCCAGGAGCTCCATGTCTCTTTTGCACCGAAGAGCCCAGAACAGGACACAGCACTGCAAATGTGCCTCACCAGGGCTGAGTGCAGCCTCACCTCCTTCCCCCTGCTGGCATTGCTCTTCCTAATGCATCCCAGGACAACACTGACTTCATGGCCACCAGGAAAAGATTGCTGGCTCACAGAGAGCTTCTTGTCCAGCAGGAACCCCAGGTCCTTCTCTAAAGAGCTGTTCACTATCAGATCAGCCCCAAGCCTGTGCTGGTTCATAAGGTATTTACCTACACACAGATAAAATCCTGCATTTGCTTTTCATGAATTCCAGAATATCCCCCTCTGCCCATCCCTCCAAGCTGTCAAGGTCCATCTGAACAGCTGCACGGCGTTCTCAGGTATCAGAAACTCCTCCACACTTGGTGTTATCAGGGAACTTGATAAGGACACTCTCTACCCTTCATCTGAGTCACTGATGTATAGATCACTGAAACCTGTGAGAGATTCCTTTTATCTGCTTGGCTTGCTAACGTAACCTGTAATTTTTTTCCTCTATTTGCTGAAGATAAACTGTATGTGGATGAAGGGCAGGAAGGCAGGTGGATCCTGCCCCAGACACCATTCTGCATGGAGGACTTAGGGATCCACTGAGCACTTTACCAGAGTAAGCACAGGCTTGTGCTCTGCTGTTCCTATTCCTTGGCCACAGAACAACCACAGACAAGGCGCTGCAACAGAGGAGCGTGTGGGCAGCTGCCACACGGTACTGGCTACTGCCACACCTGCCAGGCCTTGCCTTCATGCACAGGTGCACCAAGAACTACCCACAAAAGCCCTCCTTCCATTTCACAGTGAGAAGTGTGAGCAGGGTTGACTGGAGATAAGTAAGAGGAAGCCAGTGGAGTGCAGATTGAAGCCAGAAAGGAGAAGCTAGGGACGGGAGACAGAGAGAAGAAGAAGGGCTGACAGAAGCAAGTGTACTGTAAATAAGAGTTAAATGCCGAGGGAGGCCTGGAGTAGCAAGGAGAGAAGGCTGGAGAAATAAACTGTCAGCATCTGAGAAGAGGAGGAAGGCAAGGCCAGGAAGCAGAGCAGAAAATGAGAAGTGATCTCCCTGCCTCGTGCAGCAGCCACAAGTGGAAAGCAGGTCCTGTTTGTGCAGGGACAAGTTTGTGCTCAGCTCCCTCAGCAGTCTCACCACTGTGATCACTCTCAGCACAGTAGTATGTGCCAGAGTCATTGAGAAAGGCATGTTCTATTGAGAGGGTGATACTGTCTCCTTTTATCTTGCTGCTCTTGAAATGGCTCTCAAAACCCTTCTCCACCACTGCATTGGCACCTTCAGCTGCATAAACCAACTGGGTCAGACTGGAATTCTTCTCTGAAGGCAGCATGAACCAGTACATAGCTGTGTTGGAGGATTTCTTCTCAGAGCATTCCAGATTCACGGATTCGCCTTCTTTGATCACCATGTCTGGAGACTGTTCCAGGGCTAATACTGGAAAGGAAAAGTAGGAGCAGTGAGGAAGACGAAAAAATGGGAATAATTGGAACTTGGCACTGTGAGTTGGTAGGGAAAGGGTGAGAAGGGATTGAGAGCCAAGGAAGCAGTTCCAGGCATGGGACAGCTCTTCTGATCTGCAGGTGAATTTCCAATCTCTCCTCAATAGGCAACGTGCATTCCTGGGCTGTTTGTGTCCAAAATCCAGGAACCATCTACTGGCTGCACAAAGAATGACAAATAGATGGCCATTGCAGAAGATTCAGGCATTCCCATTGCCCCCACATTCCCTGCTGGTCCTCCATGCAGAAAGCTGTGCAGGATGCAGCAGTGGCAGGAAGTGGCTCCCCAGCTGGGAGAGCAGCAGCGGGATGAGTGGAGGTGCTCAGGGCTGGGTTGAGTTCACTTACCCAGAGGGGCCAGCATGGCCACCAAGAAACAGCAGGGAACCATGGCGGGAGAGCCCCTGCCCTGTCAGCAAGCTGCCTCTTGGAGCTGCCCAAAGGTTTGTGCAGAGGGAGCAGTGAGTGAGGGTGAGACATCTCGGGGTGGGGCTGGCCAAGAAATGACAGAAGGCATTGGCTGGCTGGGAACCCTGGGCAATGACAGAGACTGTGCGTCAGCACAAACTCTGTTTCTGCGGGATAGCAGGAACCCTCCAGAGATGCAGCAGGTGGAATGGACAGGCTGGGCGTGGGTGAGTGTGGTGGGAAGGATGGGGTTGGAAGGACAGAACTGTGCTGAGCTTGCAGGGGAGTCTGAGTGTGTGCAAGGCAGAGGAATGATGGCTGCTCCCCTCCTGCCTCTGAAGTCCTTGCGAGATGGAGGAATGAGGGATAAAGGCCACCCAGAGGTGCCTGGAATTTTCTCATGCACTCTCCCAGTCTTCCCCAGTCATGGCTGGTTCAGTCCCTGCCTGGCCACCCCATGTCCCAGCCAGCTGTGTGACAGCTCTTCTTCTCTATGAGCCCTGTGAGCACAGCAAATGCCACCTGTGAGAGGGAGGCAGGAGCCTGAAAGAGACCACAGCAGCCCAAGCACTCAGAGCTGTGAGGGCACTCATGGGCTCTGCAGTGAGAGCGGCAGGAGAGGAAGGTGAATACCTGTGGGGAGCTGAGGCATGTGAGCCTTGTCTTTCCAGCTGGTGGAGAGGGAAAGTGCTGTGTGAACTATTCCACATGCTGTTTCCCAAGCCTTGAATTGATGTAACTGATTGTAAGGAAGGAGAGATGGAGGAGGAAGGGAAGAGGAACGAGGAAGGGACTAGGTATGAGAGGACAGAAAGGGAAGTTCCGAGGAATACAGAGAAAGACATGAAAAGAAGAAAGTGAGAAGCAGTTTTTAAATGGAAGAGAAATGAGTGATGACAGTGAGGAAAAGAAGAATCCAGAGTCAGAAGGTGATACAGAGTTGGGAAAGAAAAGAATAGCAGTTAGAGACCAGGAAAAAGACACAGATGGCCAGATGGACAGCCAGAGATCCAAACTTTTTTTTCCTGATGAGCTGGGGGGCAAGTAAGAAAATGGGGCACTGTCAAACACAGGGCTCAGTGTTTGCTGGTGGCAGATCCCTGATTGCCTGGAAAGGTTTGTGCTATGCTGCACCAACCTTTGACTCACTGTGGATCTTGTTCAGCACAGAAATATGTGCCTGTGTCATTGAGTAGGGCATGCTGGATCTGCACAGCTAAATGGTTGTTCCTGGTCCCATTACTCTGGAAGCGATTTTGGAATTCCTTCTCAATATCTGCTTTGCCACCTTCCACTGAGTACACAACCAGCTGCATTGTGGCATCCTTCTCCATGGGTAACTTGTACCAGTACATGTTTACAAAAGTTTTCCCTGATGCAGAACATTCCAGAGTGATGGTTTCTCCCACCCGGACAACTGTATCTAGTGATTGCTGAAGGGCCCAGCCTGGAGAGACACGAGATGAATGGTGGGAAGTGAAATGCATTGAAGAAAATAATACACTTCCTTAAAGTACCACATGGCATGGAATGGCGCCGGATATCAAAAACCAATGGGACAGTCACCAGTTGACCTAAAAGAGACACATAGGTTCCAAAAACCCCAAACAAACCAACTTCAAATGCCACACCAAATGTGTTTTGAGAAATAATAACTTAAGTACTCTCTAGAAAAATATTAAAATGGGGCAGGAAAAAGCAAATTTCTAGCTATTCTACAGTTTTGTGATTCAATAGGTTGTGGGAAAATTCACCTGGTTCATTGCCCACCCCTGCCCTGGAATCCTTGGGAAGGGGCAGTGCCAGCAACTGGGAGCAGAGCTGAGGATGCAGCAGCAGCTCCAGTGCAGCTGATCAGGGCCAAGGGAATGCCCACTCACCCACAGGGAGCAGCATGGCCACAAGGAACCGGTGGAAATCCATGGAGAAAGGCCCCCTCCTTCCAGGCACCTGCCCCTGGTGCCAGCACAGACACAGAGGTGTGGAAAGAGGAGAGGTGCAGAGCAGGAGATGCGTCTCTCTGTGGGTGGGCAGGGGAGGGAGCGGCAGTCTGAAATGTCACCAAGGCTCTTGGCTGCCCAGGAACGGTGGGCAATGACACCTGTAGGCAGTCATGAGCTGCTTGTGCTCTGCTCCTCTGGCTTCCTGCTGTTTGCGAGCGTGGCTGGGCAAGAGTAGGGGGGACTTCAGTAGGTGCCAGAGTTCAGAGCTACCACGGAGCAGGATGGGGCTGTGGGGCAGCGTGAGTGTGTGCGCAGGAATGCACAAAGGGGCAGAAATTGATGGGAAGACAAGGAGACCTCAGGAATGCATGTTTGTGTGTCTGTATCCCGCTGTTTGTCTCCTCCCGAGCCTCCCTCACACTCACAGATTCCCATCCCTGCAAGCTGCAAAGTGGAATCTCTGCTTCTCCCAGTCAGGCCTGACGTGTTGTCCAGGTACGGGAGAAGGTGCTGACCTGCAGAGCTGGTGTCTCTTGGAGCCTGGCAGAGAATAGTTCTGTAGATGTTCTTCTCTAACTCCAGAGGGGGATCTCCAGGAGAGAACAGGCTGCCTTTGCTTCTCTACTGGGATTATCCTTTGAGACACTCTTCATCTCAGAGAGATTTCGGAGGAGAAGGGTGTGCCCCACAGAATGTGTGCATCCTGACCTTCTCTGTGCAGGAGAAGAGCAGCTATAATCCTTGTCTCTTTATTGCAGCAGTCTGCAAAAGAGCACCAGGACGCAAATGGACCAAGCTGGAGAAAACAATGTCCTCTGCTCTCTGTGTCCACCCAGCCTTGCTCACCTGCCCAAGGCACTGGGAAATCCCTGTAGGCAGGAAGGGACACTGGTAGTTTGTGTGCCCCGAGCTTGGGCACAGAGCTCTGGCAGAGCCTCTGCCCATCCGTGCTGGGCTGTGTGCACAGCAGGGTGAGGCTGGCCCATACAGGACATGGAGTGATGGCAGTGCCCAGGGCTCTGAAGGGCTTTGCAGTGAAGATGTTCCCCTGTGTCCTGTCAGCAGAGGAGAGCAGCAATGCCTGCAGCTCCTCCCAAATCCTCTGCTGCAGTTCTGAGTGTGTCCCATTGCATTCATTTCCCCAGGCTGCCTAGAGAAGCTTCTGGGAAGACCCCAGATTCCTCAAAAGAAGTTATAGAAAGAAGCAAAGAGATTGGGCTGCTTTGTAGAAACTCAAAATCCTGCCAACACCACCTCCAGCAGCAGCAGCCCTCCAGCAGAGAGGAGGCTGTGCCTGATGTGTCCATGCCAAGGGTCTCCAGTTCCCTGGGGTGAGCAGAGGGCAGGGCAGTGCATGGGGAGCCTTGCAGAAGACACAGGATTTGAGGAGTCAGTGATGTTGAACAGGCATGGCTGCTGTGTGGGGCCCTGCCTTTAGGCTCTGGGAAGCTTGGATGTTAGCATGGGAATGTGCAGGGTGGGAACCACCAGGAGTGCCCTGAGCAGGCCTGTGCTGTGCACGGGTGTGTCATGCAGGACAGAATCATGGGATGGGCCAGTGTCCTGCATTGACTATATGATGCTTTTATCCCCAAACATCTCGTTCTGTTTTGCTGAATAATAAGTTTTGCCCCTTTAAGACTTGTTGCAGAGAGTGAAGGGGGGAGAGAAGCGCACAGTTTTTATTTCCTAGACGCTGCTGTCACTCCTCCACATTCCTGCTCTGGACTGTGTTGTCTGTGGGACCGAGGTCTTTTTTGTCTTTAGTTAGTTTAGCTAGCTGAGGCAAAGCAGTTCCCTGGCCTGTGGGCTTTTTCCCTTTCTCTGGAGCTGTTCAAACCTGCTCGGGCCTGAACACCAGCAGGGCACCGGCAGCTCACACCTGAGGCCCACCGGGCCAGGCCTGGGCCGCGGCATTTCCAGCGCCTGAGGGACTGATCAGAGACTGAGTGAGCTGAGCTGCAACCCTGGGAGGGGACTTTCTCAGTTTGTCATAACTTTTGGAGCAGCAAGGGGTTTTATTGTGTAATATTGTTTAGGTTTTATTGTATAATAAACAGGTTTTTCCAATTTTCTCCAAGGAGGTATTTTCTACCGGTCTGGTTGGGGGTAGGGGGTGATTGAATTTACTGTCCTACCGGAGCCCCTTTTGGGATTCTCTCCCAAATTTGCTCTAAACCAGGACAAACCCTCTCAAAAGGGACCTCAGGGGGTCCCTGCTGCAACCTCCCTGCTCAAGCAGAGTCATCCCAGAGCAGGTGGCACACAATTGTGTCCAGATGGTTCTGGGATATCTCCCAATAGACTCCACAATTTCTTTGGGCAATCTATTCCAGGGAAACAGTAAATCACAGTGCAAAGTTCTGACCTTAGATTCATGTGGAACATCCTGTGCATCATTTTCTGCCCTTGGCCTCTTGTCCTTGTGCTTGGCACCACAGTGAATAACCTGGATCCACCTCCCTTGCCCTGCTGGCAATGCTTTTCCTAACGCTCATCCCAGGACAGCTCTGGCTTCTTGGCCACCAGGACACATTGGTGGACCATGGGGAACTTCTTGTCCAACAGGACCCCCAGGTCCTTTTCTGCAGTGCTGCTCCCCAGCAGGTCAGCCCCCAGCCTGTGCCGGTACAGCAGGTTATTTTTCCACTCATGTAAAATCCTGCATTTGCCTTTGCTGATTTTCAGGATGCTCCTCTCTGCGCATTCCTCACACCTGTCAAGGACCATATGAAGGTCTGCACAGCACTGTGGGCTATCAGCAATTCCTCCTAATTTGGTGTTATCAGTGAAGTTCATGAGGAGACCCTCTATACCATCACCAGAATCCCAGGTGAACAGAACACTGTAACCTCTTGGAAATCTCTATTAGCTGCAGATCTTGCGAACATATATATAGTATCTTTAGAATGTTTTTCATAAAGCTGAATGGTCTTATGTGGACAAACTGCTGGAAGGCAGGTGGATCCTGCCCCAGACACCACTCTACATGAAAGATTTAGGGATCCACTGAACCCTTTACCAGAGTAAGCACAGGCTTGTGCTCTGCTGTTCCTATTCCTTGGCCACAGAACAACCACAGACAAGGTGCTGGAACAGAGGAGCGTGTGGGCAGCTGCCACATGGTGCTGGCTACTGCCATACCTACCAGGCCTTGCCTTCATGCACAGGTGCAGCAAGAACTTCCCCCACAAACACCCCTTCCGTTTGACAGTGAGAAGTGTGAGCAGGTTTGACTGGAGATGAGTAAGAGGATGACAATGGAGTGCAGATTGAAGTCAGAAAGGAGAAGCTAGGGAAGGGAGACAAAGAGCAGAAGAAGTGGTGACAGAAGCAAGTGTAGTGCAAATAAGACTTACATGTTAAGGGAGGCCTGGAATGTCAAGGAGACAATGATGGACAAATAAACTGTCAGCATCTGAGAAGAGGAGCAAGGCATGGCCAGGAAGCAGAGCAGCAAATGAGAGAGAAGTGATCACCCTGCCTCGTGCAGCAGCCACAAGTGGAAAGCAGGTCCTGTTTGTGCAGGGACAAGTTTGTGCTCAGCTCCCTCAGCAGTCTCACCACTGTGTTCACTCTCAGCACAGTAGTATGTACCAGAGTCATTGAGAAAGGCATGCTCTATTGAGAGGGTGATACTGTCTCCTTTTATCTTGCTGCTCTTGAAATGGCTCTCAAAACCCTTCTCCACCACTGCATTGGCACCTTCAGCTGCATAAACCAACTGGGTCAGACTGGAATTCTTCTCTGAAGGCAGCAGGTACCAGTACATATATCTGTTGGAAGATTTCTTGTTGGAACATTCCAGATTCACGGATTCACCTTCTTTGAGTACCATGTCTGGAGACTGTTGCAGAGCTAACACTGGAAAAGAAAAGTAGGAGCAGTGAGGCAAAGGAAAAAACAGAGAGGAAACTCAACTAGGCACTGTGAGTTGGTAGGGAAAGGGTGAGAAGAGATTGGGCTGCCAAGGGAGCAGTCCATGCATGGGACAGCTCTTCAGAACTGCAGGTGAATTTCCAATCTCTCCTCAATGGGCAAGGTGCATTCCTGGTCTGGTTGAGTCCAAAACCAGGAACCATCTACAGGCTGCACAAAGAATGACAAATAGATGGCCATTGCAGAAGATTCAGGCATTCCCATTGCCCCCACATTCCCTGCTGATCCTCCATGCAGAAAGCTGTGCAGGATGCAGCAGTGGCAGGAAGTGGCTCCCCAGCTGGGAGAGCAGCAGCGGGATGAGTGGAGGTGCTCAGGGCTGGGTTGAGTTCACTTACCCAGAGGGGCCAGCATGGCCACCAAGAAACAGCAGGGAACCATGGCTGGAGAGCCCCTGCCCTGTCAGCAAGCTGCCTCTTGGAGCTGCCCAAAGGTTTGTGCAGAGGGAGCAGTGAGTGAGGGTGAGACATCTCGGGGTGGGGCTGGCCAAGAAATGACAGAAGGCATTGGCTGGCTGGGAACCCTGGGCAATGACAGAGACTGTGCGTCAGCACAAACTCTGTTTCTGCAGGATAGCAGGAACCCTCCAGAGATGCAGCAGGTGAAAGGGGCAGTCTGGGCATGGGTGGATGTGGAGGGAAGGATGGGGATCTCAACCTGTCAGTTCTGCCCTTTTTCCATCCCACCAGGGCAAGGGGGTAGTGACGGAGTGCCTGTAACACCCAGCAGCTGACTGGGCTTTAACCACAAGGACCTGAGCACCAGACAGCATCTCCATGTCCCCACAGCTATGGCAGGAGCTGCAGCTCACCTGACCAAGCCTGTGCTTCACACTCCAGCAAGGAATTCCCAGCAGCTGTTCTTGATGCATTATGAGCATTTAGGTGAGGATTCCCCTGGGCCCTTGCCCTCTTTTTAAACTGGAGATAAAGAGGAATAAGCCAGTCAGGGCAGCCCTCGTGACTTTCAGCAAGCAGCAGGAGATGGAGTGGATGGGCCAGACAAGATGCTCAAAGACACCAACAAGCCCTGCTGAAAACTGCACTTGGACTTCTCCCTCCTGGTTCTTCTCCTGGTCACCAGGGATGTGCCATGGTTCACCTGGGCAGCCTCCTGCTGTGGGCAGGGACAATTCTCCGACATCAGATTGTTCAGGTCACAGGATAGGGGTGTAACATGGGCTGTGTGTGGAATCCCTGGAGACCACTGGGGCCAAGGACCAGTGAGCCTTGTCTTTCCAGGTGGTGGACAGGGAAAGTGCTGTGTGAACTGTTCCACATCCTGCTTCCCACACCTTGAATTGGTGTAACAAATTGAAAGGAAGGAGAGATGGAAGAGGAAGGCAACAGGAAATAGGATGGGACTAGGTATGAGAGGACAGAGAGGAAAATTCCGGGAAACACACTAAAAGACATGAAAAGAGCAAAGTGGGAAACAATCTGAATGGCAGAGAAAGGAGTGGAGACAGTGAGGACAAGAAGAATTGAGAGTGAGAAGGCGATTCAGGGATGGGAAAGAATAGAAAAGCAGCTAGAGACCAAGGTAAAAACAGACCGATGAACAGATAGATGGACAGATAGACAGACAGACTGTCATACCGTGTTTTACCTGAAGAGCTGTGGGGCAAGTAAGAAAATGGAGTCCTCTCAAGCACAGGGCTCAGTGTGTGCTGGTGGCAGATCCCTGATTGCCTGGAAAGCTTTGTGCTGTGCTGCACCAGCCTTTGACTCACTGTGGATCTTGTTCAGCACAGAAATATGTGCCTGTGTCATTGAGTAGGGCATGCTGGATCTGCACAGCTAAATGGTTGTTCATGGTCCCATTACTCTGGAAGCGATTTTGGAATTCCTTCTCAATATCTGCTTTTCCACCTTCCACTGAATACACAACCAGCTGCATTGTGGCATCCTTCTCCATGGGTAACTTGTACCAGTACATGTTTACAAAAGTTTTCCCTGGTGCAGAACATTGCAGAGTGATGGTGTCTCCCAGCCGGACAACTGTATCTGGTGATTGCTGAAGGGCCCAGCCTGGAGAGACAGGAGATGAAAGGTGGCGATTGAAATGCATTCAAGATATTAATATGCATCCTTAAATTTTCTCATGGAATGGAATGGCACCAGGATATCAGAAAGCAATGGGAGTGTGCCCAGCTTCTCTGAAAAAGACACATCAGTTCCAAAAATCCCAAACAAACCAACTTCAAATATAACAGTAAATCTGTTTTGAGAAATAAGAATTTTGGTACTCTCAACTCTAATATTAAAATTAGGCAGGAAAAAAAATGTAGCTCTGCAGGGTTACCTGCTTAAATATGTGGTGAAAAGGTTCACCTGGTGCATTGCCCACCCCTGCCCTGGAATCCTTGGGAAGGGGCAGTGTCAGAAACTGGGAGCAGAGCTGAGGATGCAGCAGCAGCTCCAGTGCAGCTGATCAGGACCAAGGGAATGCCCACTCACCCACAGGGAGCAGCATGGCCACAAGGAGCCGGTGGAAATCCATGGAGAAAGGCCCCCTCCTTCCAGGCACCTGCCCCTGGTGCCAGCACAGACACAGAGGTGTGGAAAGAGGAGAGGTGCAGAGCAGGAGATGCGTCTCTCTGTGGGTGGGCAGGGGAGGGAGCGGCAGTCTGAAATGTCACCAAGGCTCTTGGCTGCCCAGGAACGGTGGGCAATGACACCTGCAGGCAGTCATGAGCTGCTTGTGCTCTGCTCCTCTGGCTTCCTGCTGTGTGCGAGCGTGGCTGGGCAAGAGTAGGGGGGACTTCAGTAGGTGCCAGAGTTCAGAGCTACCACGGAGCAGGATGGGGCTGTGGGGCAGCGTGAGTGTGTGCGCAGGAATGCACAAAGGGGCAGAAATTGATGGGAAGACAAGGAGACCTCAGGAATGCATGTTTGTGTGTCTGTGTCCCGCTGTTTGTCTCCTCCCTAGCCTCCCTCACACTCACAGATTCCCATCCCTGCAAGCTGCAAAGTGGAATCTCTGCTTCTCCCAGTCAGGCCTGACGTGTTGTCCAGGTACAGGAGAAGGTGCTGACCTGCAGAGCTGGTGTGTCTTGGAGTCTGGCAGAGAATATTTCTGTAGCTGTTCTTCTCTAACTCCAGAAGGGTATCTCAAGGAAAGAACAGGCTGCCTTTGCTTCTGTACTGGGATTATCCTTTGAGACACTCTTCATCTCAGAGAGATTTCGGAGGAGAAGTGTGTGCCCTACAGGATGTGCTGATACACCCTGACCTTCTCTGTGCCAGAGTAGAACAGCTATAATCCTTGTCTCTTTATTGCAGCAGTCTGCAAAAGAGCACCAGGACACAAGTGGACCAAGCTGGAGAAAACCATGTCCTCTGCTCTCTGTGTCCACCCAGCCTTGCTCACCTGCCCAAGGCACTGGGAAATCCCTGTAGGCAGGAAGGGACACTGGTAGTTTGTGTGCCCCGAGCTTGGGCACAGAGCTCTGGCAGAGCCTCTGCCCATCCGTGCTGGGCTGTGTGCACAGCAGGGTGAGGGTGGCCCATACAGGACATGGAGTGATGCCAGTGCCCAGGGCTCTGAAGGGCTTTGCATTGAACATGTTCCCCTGTGTCCTGTCAGCAGAGGAGAGCAGCAATGCCTGCAGCTCCTCCCAAATCCTCTGCTGCAGTTCTGAGTGTGTCCCATTGCATTCATTTCCCCAGGCTGCCTAGAGAAGCTTCTGGGAAGACCCCAGATTCCTCAAAAGAAGTTATAGAAAGAAGCAAAGAGAGTGGGCTGCTTTGTAGAAACTCAAAATCCTGCCAACACCACCTCCAGCAGCAGCAGCCCTCCAGCAGAGAGGAGGCTGTGCCTGATGTGTCCATGCCAAGGGTCTCCAGTTCCCTGGGGTGAGCAGAGGGCAGGGCAGTGCATGGGGAGCCTTGCAGAAGACACAGGATTTGAGGAGTCAGTGATGTTGAACAGGCATGGCTGCTGTGTGGGGCCCTGCCTTTAGGCTCTGGGAAGCTTGGATGTTAGCATGGGAATGTGCAGAGTGGGAACCACCTGGAGTGCCCTGAGCAGGCCTGTGCTGTGCACGGGTGTGTCATGCAGGACAGAATCATGGGATGGGCCAGTGTCCTGCATTGACTATATGATGCTTTTATCCCCAAACATCTCGTTCTGTTTTGCTGAATAATAAGTTTTGCCCCTTTAAGACTTGTTGCAGAGAGTGAAGGGGGGAGAGAAGCGCACAGTTTTTATTTCCTAGACGCTGCTGTCCCTCCTCCACATTCCTGCTCTGGACATTGTTGTCTGTGGGACCGAGGTCTTTTTTGTCTTTACTTAGTTTAGCTAGCTGAGGCAAAGCAGTTCCCTGGCCTGTGGGTTTTTTCCCTTTCTCTGGAGCTGTTCAAACCTGCTCTGGCCTGAACACCAGCAGGGCACCGGCAGCTCACTCCTGGGCCCACCGGGCCGGGCCTGGGCCGCGGCATTTCCAGCACCTGAGGGACTGATCAGAGACTGAGTGAGCTGAGCTGCAACCCTGGGAGGGGACTTTCTCAGTTTGTCATAACTTTTGGAGCAGCAAGGGGTTTTATTGTGTAATATTGTTTAGGTTTTATTGTATAATAAACGGGTTTTTCCAATTTTCTCCAAGGAGGTATTTTCTACCGGTCTGGTTGGGGGTAGGGGGTGATTGAATTTACTGTCCTACCGGAGCCCCTTTTGGGATTCTCTCCCAAATTTGCTCTAAACCAGGACAAACCCTCTCAAAAGGGACCTCAGGGGGTCCCTGCTGCAACCTCCCTGCTCAAGCAGAGTCATCCCAGAGCAGGTGGCACACAATTGTGTCCAGATGGTTCTGGGATATCTCCCAATAGACTCCACAATTTCTTTGGGCAATTTATTCCAGGGAAACAGTCAATCACAGTGCAAAGTTCTGACCTTAGATTCATGTGGAACATCCTGTGCATCGTTTTCTGCCCTTGGCCTCTTGTCCTTGTGCTTGGCCTCACAGTGAATAACCTGGATCCACCTCCCTTGCCCTGCTGGCAATGCTTTTCCTAACGCTCATCCCAGGACAGCTCTGGCTTCTTGGCCACCAGGACACATTGGTGGACCATGGGGAACTTCTTGTCCAACAGGACCTCCAGGTCCTTCTCTGAAGAGCTGCTCCCCAGCAGGTCAGCCCCCAGCCTGTGCCGGTACAGCAGGTTATTTTTCCACTCATGTAAAATCCTGCATTTGCCTTTGCTGATTTTCAGGATGCTTCTCTCTGCGCATTCCTCACACCTGTCAAGGACCATATGAAGGTCTGCACAGCACTGTGGGCTATCAGCAATTCCTCCTAATTTGATGTTATCAGTGAAGTTCATGAGGAGACCCTCTATACCATCACCAGAATCCCAGGTGAACAGAACACTGTAACCTCTTGGAAATCTCTATTAGCTGCAGATCTTGTGAACATATATAGTATCTTTAGAATGTTTTTCATAAAGCTGAATGGTCTTATGTGGACAAACTGCTGGAAGGCAGGTGGATCCTGCCCCAGACACCACTCTACATGAAAGATTTAGGGATCCACTGAACCCTTTACCAGAGTAAGCACAGGCTTGTGCTCTGCTGTTCCTATTCCTTGGCCACAGAACAACCACAGACAAGGTGCTGGAACAGAGGAGCGTGTGGGCAGCTGCCACACGGTGCTGGTTACTGCCACACCTGCCAGGCCTTGCCTTTATGCACAGGTGCACCAAGAACTTCCCACAAAAGCCCTCCTTCCGTTTGACAGTGAGAAGTGTGTGCAGGGTTGACTGGAGATGAGTAAGAGGATGACAATGGAGTGCAGATGGAAGTCAGAAAGGAGAAGCTAGGGAAGGGAGACAAAGAGCAGAACAAGTGGTGACAGAAGCAAGGGTAGTGCAAATAAGACTTACATGTTAAGGGAGGCCTGGAATGTCAAGGAGACAATGATGGACAAACAAACTGTCAGCATCTGAGAAGAGGAGCAAGGCAAGGCCAGGAAGCAGAGCAGCAAATGAGAGAGAAGTGATCACCCTGCCTCGTGCAGCAGCCACAAGTGGAAAGCAGGTCCTGTTTGTGCAGGGACAAGTTTGTGCTCAGCTCCCTCAGCAGTCTCACCACTGTGTTCACTCTCAGCACAGTAGTATGTACCAGAGTCATTGAGAAAGGCATGCTCTATTGAGAGGGTGATACTGTCTCCTTTTATCTTGCTGCTCTTGAAATGGCTCTCAAAACCCTTCTCCACCACTGCATTGGCACCTTCATATGCATAAACCAACTGGGTCAGACTGGAATTCTTCTCTGAAGGCAGCAGGTACCAGTACATATATCTGTTGGAAGATTTCTTGTTGGAACATTCCAGATTCACGGATTCGCCTTCTTTGATTACCATGTCTGGAGACTGTTCCAGGGCTAACACTGGAAAAGAAAAGTAGGAGCAGTGAGGCAAAGGAAAAAACTGAGAGGAAACTCAACTAGGCACTGTGAGTTGGTAGGGAAAGGGTGAGAAGAGATTGGGCTGCCAAGGGAGCAGTCCATGCATGGGACAGCTCTTCTGATCTGCAGGTGAATTTCCAATCTCTCCTCAATGGGCAAGGTGCATTCCTGGTCTGGTTGAGTCCAAAACCAGGAACCATCTACAGGCTGCACAAAGAATGACAAATAGATGGCCATTGCAGAAGATTCAGGCATTCCCATTGCCCCCACATTCCCTGCTGATCCTCCATGCAGAAAGCTGTGCAGGATGCAGCAGTGGCAGGAAGTGGCTCCCCAGCTGGGAGAGCAGCAGCGGGATGAGTGGAGGTGCTCAGGGCTGGGTTGAGTTCACTTACCCAGAGGGGCCAGCATGGCCACCAAGAAACAGCAGGGAACCATGGCTGGAGAGCCCCTGCCCTGTCAGCAAGCTGCCTCTTGGAGCTGCCCAAAGGTTTGTGCAGAGGGAGCAGTGAGTGAGGGTGAGACATCTCGGGGTGGGGCTGGCCAAGAAATGACAGAAGGCATTGGCTGGCTGGGAACCCTGGGCAATGACACAAACTGTGCGTCAGCACAAACTCTGTTTCTGCAGGATAGCAGGAACCCTCCAGAGATGCAGCAGGTGGAATGGACAGGCTGGGCATGGGTGGGTGTGGAGGGAAGGATGGGGTTGGAAGGACAGAACTGTGCTGGGCTTGCAGGGGAGTCTGAGTGTGTGCAAGGCAGAGGAATGATGGCTGCTCCCCTCCTGCCTCTGAAGTCCTTGCGAGATGGAGGAATGAGGGATAAAGGCCACCCAGAGGTGCCTGGAATTTTCTCATGCACTCTCCCAGTCTTCCCCAGTCATGGCTGGTTCAGTCCCTGCCTGGCCACCCCATGTCCCAGCCAGCTGTGTGACAGCTCTTCTTCTCTATGAGCCCTGTGATCACAGCTAATGCCACCTGTGAGAGGGAGGCAGGAGCCTGAAAGAGACCACAGCAGCCCAAGCACTCAGAGCTGTGAGGGCTCTCATGGGCTCTGCAGTGAGAGCGGCAGGAGAGGAAGGTGAATACCTGTGGGGAGCTGAGGCACTGTGAGCCTTGTCTTTAAAGGTGGTGGAGAGGGAAAGTGCTGTGTGAACTATTCCACATGCTGTTTCCCAAGCCTTGAATTGATGTAACTGATTGTAAGGAAGGAGAGATGGAGGAGGAAGGGAATAGGAAAGAGGCAGGAACTAGGTATGAGAGGACAGAGAAGAAAAGCCAGGGGGACAGACAGAATGACTTGAAAAGAGCAACGTCAGAAACAATCTGAATGGGAGATAAAGGAGGTCAGACAGTGAGGACAAGGAGAATTGAGAGTGAGAAAATGATTCAGAGATGGGCAAGAATAGAAGAGCAAAGAAATACAGATGGACAGATAGATGGACAGACAGAGATCCAAACCAATTTTTCCCTGATGAGCTGGGGGGCAAGTAAGAAAACTGGGCTCTGTCAAACACAGGGCTCTGTGTGTGCTGGAGGCAGATCCCTGTTTGCCTGGAAAGGTTTGTGCTGTGCTGCACCAGCCTTTGACTCACTGTGGATCTTGTTCAGCACAGAAATATGTGCCTGTGTCATTGAGTAGGGCATGCTGGATCTGCACAGCTAAATGGTTGTTCCTAGTCCCATTACTCTGGAAGCGATTTTGGAACTCCTTCTCAATATCTGCTTTGCTGCCTTCCACTGAATACACAACCAGCTGCATTGTGGCATCCTTCTCCATGGGTAACTTGTACCAAGACAGGTACATGAAATCTTTCCCTGATGCAGAACACTGCAGAGTGATGGTGTCTCCCAGCCGGACAACTGTATCTGGTGATTGCTGAAGGGCCCAGCCTGGAGAGACAGGAGATGAAAGGTGGGGAGTGAAATGCGTTGAAGACAATAATACTCTTCCTTAAAGTATCACATGGCATGGAATGGCGCCAGGATATCAAAAAGCAATGGGACAGTCACCAGTTTACCTGAAAGAGACACATAGGTTCCAAAAACCCCAAACAAACCAACTTCAAATGCCACACCAAATGTGTTTTGAGAAATAATAACTTTAGTACTCTCTAGAGAAATATTAAAATGGGGCAGGAAAAAACAAATTTCTAGCTACTCTACAGTTTTGTGATTCAATAGGTTGTGGGAAAATTCACCTGGTGCATTGCCCACCCCTGCCCTGGAATCCTTGGGAAGGGGCAGTGCCAGCAACTGGGAGCAGAGCTGAGGATGCAGAGCAGCTCCAGTGCAGCTGATCAGGACCAAGGGAATGCCCACTCACCCACAGGGAGCAGCATGGCCACAAGGAACCGGTGGAAATCCATGGAGAAAGGCCCCCTCCTTCCAGGCACCTGCCCCTGGTGCCAGCACAGACACAGAGGTGTGGAAAGAGGAGAGGTGCAGAGCAGGAGATGCGTCTCTCTGTGGGTGGGCAGGGGAGGGAGCGGCAGTCTGAAATGTCACCAAGGCTCTTGGCTGCCCAGGAACGGTGGGCAATGACACCTGCAGGCAGTCATGAGCTGCTTGTGCTCTGCTCCTCTGGCTTCCTGCTGTGTGCGAGCGTGGCTGGGCAAGAGTAGGGGGGACTTCAGCAGGTGCCAGAGTTCAGAGCTACCACGGAGCAGGATGGGGCTGTGGGGCAGCGTGAGTGTGTGCGCAGGAATGCACAAAGGGGCAGAAATTGATGGGAAGACAAGGAGACCTCAGGAATGCATGTTTGTGTGTCTGTATCCCGCTGTTTGTCTCCTCCCTAGCCTCCCTCACACTCACAGATTCCCATCCCTGCAAGCTGCAAAGTGGAATCTCTGCTTCTCCCAGTCAGGCCTTATGTGTTGTCCAGGTATGGGAGAAGGTGCTGACCTGCAGAGCTGGTGTCTCTTGGAGCCTGGCAGAGAATAGTTCTGTAGCTGTTCTTCTCTTACTCCCGAGGGGGATCTCAAGGAGAGAACAGGCTGCCTTTGCTTCTGTACTGGGATTATCCTTTGAGACACTCTTCATCTCAGAGAGATTTCTGTGGAGAAGGGTGTGCCCCACAGGATGCGCTGATACACCCTGACCTTCTCTGTGCCAGGGAAGAACAGATATAATCCTTGTCTCTTTATTGCAGCAGTCTGCAAAAGAGCACCAGGACACAATGGACAAAGCTGCAGAAAACCATGTCCTCTGCTCTCTGTGTCCACCCAGCCTTGTTCCCCTGCCCAAGACAGTGGGAAATCCCTGTAGGCAGGAAGGGACACTGGTAGTTTGTGTGCCCCGAGCTTGGGCACAGAGCTCTGGCAGAGCCTCTGCCCATCCGTGCTGGGCTGTGTGCACAGCAGGGTGAGGCTGGCCCATACAGGACATGGAGTGATGGCAGTGCCCAGGGCTCTGAAGGGCTTTGCAGTGAAGATGTTCCCCTGTGTCCTGTCAGCAGAGGAGAGCAGCAATGCCTGCAGCTCCTCCCAAATCCTCTGCTGCAGTTCTGAGTTTGTCCCATTGCATTCATTTCCCCAGGCTGCCTAGAGAAGCTTCTGGGAAAACCCCAGATTCCTCAAAAGAAGTTATAGAAAGAAGCAAAGAGATTGGGCTGCTTTGTAGAAACTCAAAATCCTGCCAACACCACCTCCAGCAGCAGCAGCACTCCAGCAGAGAGGAGGCTGTGCCTGATGTGTCCATGCCAAGGGTCTCCAGTTCCCTGGGGTGAGCAGAGGGCAGGGCCGTGCAGGGGGAGCCTTGCAGAAGACACGGGATTTGAGGAGTCAGTGATGTTGAACAGGCATGGCTGCTGTGTGGGGCCCTGCCTTTAGGCTCTGGGAAGCTTGGATGTTAGCATGGGAATGTGCAGGGTGGGAACCACCAGGAGTGCCCTGAGCAGGCCTGTGCTGTGCACGGGTGTGTCATGCAGGACAGAATCATGGGATGGGCCAGTGTCCTGCATTGACTATATGATGCTTTTATCCCCAAACATCTCGTTCTATTATGCTGAATAATAAGTTTTGCCCCTTTTAGACTTGTGGCAGAGAGTGAAGGGGGGAGAGAAGCGCACAGTTTTTATTTCCTAGACGCTGCTGTCCCTCCTCCACATTCCTGCTCTGGACTGTGTTGTCTGTGGGACCGAGGTCTTTTTTGTCTTTACTTAGTTTAGCTAGCTGAGGCAAAGCAGTTCCCTGGCCTGTGGGTTTTTTCCCTTTCTCTGGAGCTGTTCAAAGCTGCTCTGGCCTGAACACCAGCAGGGCACCGGCAGCTCACACCTGGGCCCACCGGGCCGGGCCTGGGCCGCGGCATTTCCAGCGCCTGAGGGACTGATCAGAGACTGAGTGAGCTGAGCTGCAACCCTGGGAGGGGACTTTCTCAGTTTGTCATAACTTTTGGAGCAGCAAGGGGTTTTATTGTGTAATATTGTTTAGGTTTTATTGTATAATAAACAGGTTTTTCCAATTTTCTCCAAGGAGGTATTTTCTACCAGTCTGGTTGGGGGTAGGGGGTGATTGAATTTACTGTCCTACCGGAGCCCCTTTTGGGATTCTCTCCCAAATTTGCTCTAAACCAGGACAAACCCTCTCAAAAGGGACCTCAGGGGGTCCCTGCTGCAACCTCCCTGCTCAAGCAGAGTCATCCCAGAGCAGGTGGCACACAATTGTATCCAGATGGTTCTGGGATATCTCCCAATAGACTCCACAATTTCTTTGGGCAATCTATTCCAGGGAAACAGTAAATCACAGTGCAAAGTTCTGACCTTAGATTCATGTGGAACATCCTGTGCATCATTTTCTGCCCTTGGCCTCTTGTCCTTGTGCTTGGCACCACAGTGAATAACCTGGATCCACCTCCCTTGCCCTGCTGGCAATGCTTTTCCTAACGCTCATCCCAGGACAGCTCTGGCTTCTTGGCCACCAGGACACATTGGTGGACCATGGGGAACTTCTTGTCCAACAGGACCTCCAGGTCCTTCTCTGAAGAGCTGCTCCCCAGCAGGTCAGCTCCCAGCCTGTGCCGGTACAGCAGGTTATTTTTCCACTCATGTAAAATCCTGCATTTGCCTTTGCTGATTTTCAGGATGCTCCTCTCTGCGCATTCCTCACACCTGTCAAGGACCATCTGAAGGGCTGCACAGCACTGTGGGCTATCAGCAATCCCTCCTAATTTGGTGTTATCAGTGAAGTTCATGAGGAGACCCTCAAATCCATCACCAGAATCCCAGATGAACAGAACACTGTAACCTCTTGGAAATCTCTATTAGCTGCAGATCTTGTGAACATGTATAGTATCTTTAGAATGTTTTTCATAAAGCTGAATGGTCTTATGTGGACAAACTGCTGGAAGGCAGGTGGATCCTGCCCCAGACACCACTCTACATGAAAGATTTAGGGATCCACTGAACACTTTACCAGAGTAAGCAGAGGCGTGTGCTCTGCT